GCTTTAAATATTATGTTCTTTTCTGGCTATTTTCTAATTGGAGGGGAGATTGTTTTGATTAATATGTTGCCAATTGGCAAGTGCCTTTGAAATAGCTTAAAACAGAAAAAAACCAAGAACAAATATTTTTTAGTTAAAAAGGTAGTGGGAAATGATATATTGAAGGTTCTGCTTTCTGTGAATCATATATGAGACATTTTCTCTATGACAAGCAAATGCCAAAGGCACAAACTTATCAATAGCATTTAGATATATTTATATTCTAAGCAACTATTCTGGAATGAAAGAGATTCTTTATTCATTTATTCAGTATATTTTTTTGTTTTATTTTCAATTGGCTATTTCATGAAATATTTCCCTTTTATGAAACAAAGAGGCAATGAGAGAGATTTTTACACAAGACATTTAAACAGGTAAAAAAGACTAAATAATTCCCTAGTAGTAAGATATATTAGAAAAGAAAATAGAGATGAACAACAGGACTACAATTACATTATGACAGCAAGCTTCCCCAAATATATAATATACATATCACCAGAATGAGAACAATCAACCACCATATCCTCTCTTTTATTATCTACATCTTGTCCCTAGGTTTTCAAAACCCTATGTTCATAGAAACATGGATTTTTTTTCTCCTTGCTTGTTGGGAAATTGGTCATTCTTTAGACCATAAACTATTACCAGTTATATTTTCCACCCAAAGTGTCTACGATATCATATAGGTAGTTTAATATTGCCCTGTCTATCCCTTTGTAGTCTGGTAGATTGGCACCACGTCAAGCAATAATGAGATGATGTATTTTATTCACCAATCAATATTTGCTGAACTCCTATTTTTAGAATAATGGCCCAGCTGTTTGGAATTAGACAGCCCATTTATAACAACTTCATTGATTAATTGGTTATGTATCATCAAATCATTACTGACTAGCAACATGGACAGATTTGCCCATAACCTGTTGTATCAGCTCACTTCCAAGAGCACCACTGTACTAAGAACAGGTGCATGGTGGTCGTTCTTTTTAAAGTGTCCAGTTACCATGCATTTTTCTGCTTTGTTGAGTAGACCATTAACACCAGAAACTGAGATTACCATACTATAATGGTAAAAACAGTTTCCATTAACAAGTCAGCACTCTGGTGATCCCTATTACCAGTTACATGTTCTATAAATAAAATAGGGAAAAGGCATTAACTTATTCATAAACCTCTCTCCAGATTTCCCTAGTTCATTTTTGTACCTTTTGATCTAAATAGGATACAAAAGAATGTTCAGTTATATCCATTTCTGGACAGTCCTCAAGTTATGTGTGCATGTTGTAACAGTTGGAAAATGAGTCACATGACTGACCCAATTATGATGGATTTTGCAATGGTCATTAAGTGGTTTTAAGTGCAAATACTACAATAGTTAAGCGAACACCACAGTTATAAGTGAAACCATTGTTCTTTATGGTGTGGTTTGCTGAAAACCGGATATAAATGCTGGTTTTCAGCCAAATTATTATAGACTGTGGTCATATAACTGTGGGATAGTGCAAACAATTGTAAATGTGTCCATGTTGCCAAATGCCCGAAGTATGGGCATGTAACCAGGGAGAAGGACTGCCGGAATCGTGGATCTAAGTTGTAAGTTCCCTTTTTCAGATACATTGTAATTTCAAATAGTTGCTAAACTACCAGTCATATAACAAAGATGCCTCTACAAGATTACTCATATTTGAGTACAAATAGCTTGCCAGATTCCTTATTTGATTCAAGTTGTAAGTTCCCTTTTTCAGGTAGCTTGTAACTTGAAACAGTTGCTAAGCAACCAGTCATAAATCAAAGACTACCTGTATTAGATTACATTTGAGTACAAATAGCTTGCCTGGTTCCTTAGCCTGGGAGTTCTATAAACATGGTCAACCAAATTTACAGATTTTTTTTTATCTCAGGCAAAACCGGGTAGAGGAAAAGCTAGGGTTAGGGTTGCTCACTTTCCCTTCCTACTGTGATGCATTGATATTGCAAATAAACACCTCTCATTTTTTATCTTCCTAAAAACTTCAAATCAGGAAGTCAGATATTATTTCTTTTTCAAATCCTCCTTTTGTCAGAATCTGCACATATGCCTTGAAACACAAAATTAATCTCAATTGAATAATATAAAGCTATATAGGTTGATTTTATTTGGAATTCCATGTGAGAGTCTGTATGGTTCAACTATTTTAGCATGGCTGAAATATTTTACCAGGAGCAAAGATACCACATTCTAGTCCATCTTCATTCACAGAGAGTCAGTGGATGACTTTGGACCTTTCACCCTCTTTCAGCCGTATCTACCTTGTTGTGGTGGGGAACAATAAGAGAACACAGTGTTTTGAATGCTGTTTTGAGTTGGGGAATAAAAGTGAGAAATACTATATAGTGGAATGGTACGTGTGTGCACATTTGAAATCCAAATCCAGCTCTTCCTCTCCAGCCTTCTGGAAGGTGTTAAGAAAACTGTACACTACTTGCTTTGCACTGTAGGAAGTTATCACCCAGCCCTTTCCCAAAAAAATGAAATATCCTAGGAAATATTGAAAAGGCAGAATATTCCATTTCCCTGGATGTGAAAAGGAAGAAACATGTTTTAAGAGAGAATAGCTCCCTGCAGCTTCCTACCCATTCCCCTTTGCCACTGGGCCATTAAGATGGCCAAACCAGTCCATTTACATAATAAAGAGTTCTCCCCTTCAGCTCCAGGGAGATGGGATTAAGGCATGATAATATTGGGACTTTACCCAACTCCCCACATGGATTCTGAGAACTCAACCAAACCTGGATTCAAAACACAGCCTAGAGAGTTGCCCCTGCATGGTCTCATGGGAGTCTGACAACCAATCAGAATACAAGATCAAGATCAAAGGCCAGAGAGGGCATAAAACCAGGGACTTTCAGCATCTCAGCCCTTCCTTCTCCTTTTCTCCACCAACATTGAAGCATGCGATCACCTTTTCTGTTCAGGACTCAAGCCGTGTGGTCCTGTCCACCATTAAACCGTCTTTTCTCCAGTGTCTTTTTCCCCACTTGGAGCCGAACCCAGAAGGACATTTCTTTCAACAGGACAAAACACCAATATGGCTCTATATGTGATCCTGGCCTAGATTATGCTGACAGCTGCACTTATTCAAATGAGCAAAAATATAGTTTCCCTTCAGAGCTTCTGCTGAACTCATGAAAATTGGAGAAAGACAGGGGAGAGATTGCCTCTGTGTATGCCCTCATTCTCTCCCCGCTTAGGTTTTCCAATTGTTTTGGCATGGCAGCTCAAAAGTTGCATTGTTACAGAAAAATTCTTCACCAAAGGCTTTCCTGTATGCAGAACTGCATTGTCACTTTTAAGATTTTTATATATTTTGTGTATTTGGGGCAGCATTCCCAGTACTGAACTCTTCAAATTGGATGCTGGGGAAAAATGGACATGATATGTAGTCCAATACATCTATGGATGTCAGATTGAGAAACCAACTTCCTTCCTTGCTTCTTCTTTCTCCCTCTCTTCTTCCTCTCTCTTCTCTCCTGCCCCCTTTCCTTCCTTCTTTCCTTTCTGCTCCTGCATTTTGGTAAGGAAAAGGTAACACTTCACAGTTGAATCTCATTTATTGGTATTTACATACTGCCTTCTGAGTTATAATATTAGATGTTATGGAGTTGTACAATTTGTCGGTGATTAGCTATTCCTTATTTAATGCTCCATTCTTCTGGCTTTCTTTACAGTAATAATAAACAGGATATCAGCTTGCTAATATTGGGAATGCAAGGGAAGAGATACACCGTTTCATTGTTTTCCTTCTTTCCCTACGGTATTATTCCCTCCTCTCCCCCGCCCTCCTCCTCCTCGGATGGCCAACAGTCAAGCTGTGTGAATGGTGTTTCAGAATGGGAAGGAAGAAATAATTCTTCCAGTAAATTGAGAATGCATTAGGAAATAACACTGGATCGTGTTTCTAATGCACAATCGCCAAGCTGTGACATAGGCCGGGGGGAGGGGACGACGACGACGACGACACACCGGATTCTCCAGAAAAGGAACGCCAGCATGAGCAACTCCAACCAATTCAGCTTTTGGGATTAGCTACGCATGCGCAATCAGTTACACAAGGGAAGCATAGACCTATATAAAAACTTAGTGAGCACACTTGGAACTCGAACGCGGTTGGGGATTTGAGGGACTCGTCTTTGTAGTTATTTTGACAGCGGATAGGCCTTGATTTTTCCTATCCAAGCATGTCAGATCTACCTGTTTTTCCTGCTCAGACGAAGATATATGAAATAGAGGCATCATATTTAGTCGATATGAGACTAGATTCCAAAGCGATGTCTCTCATATTAAGAACTTTTGCCCTTGATCCATTGAAGCGCAATATAATCCGTTCAGACCTTTCCAAGCCTAACTTAGTGCACATTTAATTATCCATATTTGGAAACAAATTACTGATTACGATCCTATGAACTTTTTTGTTTTAAATATGAAAGCTCTGAATGTGAACGGTTCTGCCTCGATACCGGTGTTTTTGAACCTGGCACTTTATGATGTCCGCCCATCTTAACGCTGCCAAATTGAAAAATCGCTGCTCTTTTGTGTATAAAATGTAAACCAGCATATGAATTCAAGCAATATAATTGAATTGAGAAATACATAAAAGAGATTGTGAAGGGGTGGGGGAACCATCTGTCTTTCAAATCCGAGCTCGTTTAATGTGCTTTGTATAAACACTTTATTATTCCACTCCTGAGAAAGAGAAGAATGGAGCCTAATATAAACTTGGAAACTCTAACTATATATGAGTCTAAAGGAATAGAAGTCTATGATCTATGACGGTAAAGTTGTGCCCCCTGGCGAAATTCTATTCTGTCGTTCAACGCTCTAGAAACTGATATCACGCATGCGCCTTAAGGTTTAGCGTAACCTAGCGACGAGCAGAGCGTTCTCAAGAGGGCGAGACCAGAATTGGGAAGTCGTGGGAACGTGTGTATCGTCCTAAACGCTCAGATACAGATTTTCCTGTGACTGAAACTTTCTGAGGACGGTCTGATTTGAAAAGCCATCTGAAGGAAGGAAAGCCCTTCGGTAATTCAAAAGATGTGCGCGGTGTCTGCATAAACTTTAGTTAAGACTTCTTCGTCTTATAATCTGTTAAATACATTTTAGATAATACTTTGTATTTCATTATACAACTAATAAAGTAAGCACATAAACAAATTGTAAGTAAAAGAAATCCTCCCATTATATTTTGTCTCCCAATATTGTCTGTTCTCAGAAAATAATTATTTTTCTGTATGCGGTTTCTCTGCTATCATCCTGTGAAAAAGAAACGAAAAACAGCTGCCCTAAACACTGAAAAACAAATACTGAAAGTATATTGAAAGGCGATATGTGGGGGGAAAGAACGTCCTAAAATACATTTCGCATTAAGCTCTTATTTTTTGTATTAAGCTAAATTTTTTAACAATACAATTAAATACTGATGTTCTGATGACTAAATTTTATTTAATGTTTTATAGTGTTTATGTTTTTATTGATTAATGTGAGAGATCATTATATGAGATAGGAAGCTATCTAAGTCAAAGATAATAGAAAAAGGAAAACATCAAAGTTACTTTCATGGGGTTTTTTTGGCACAGTGGTGCTTATAGGTTTTTGAATTTTCAATATTTTGAAAATGGTCACAATGACCCAAAATGTAATCTAACTTTTTCCTGTGTTAACCATTTTTTGATCATATGATTTATGTCATGTCTACTTTCTCTTAAGATTCAGTTCATGGAGAGATGTCCTAACATTTTCTGTAAAATTTGCTTGTAGAATTAAGAATCCGCACTTCCATCACTATTGGAACCATCACAATGGCTTATTGGTAAGCCATCCTGATCCAGAAGCAGCAGGGTCAAACCATGATTTGCCACCACTATGTTTCACAGATGGGATAAAATTCTTATGGTGGAATGCAGTATGTGCCTTTAAGCAAATATAACACTTTTCACAAAGTTTTGTTTTGGTCTCATCTGTCCACAGAACATTTTTGCAAGAACTTTTTGGCTTATCTGCGTAATTTTTTCCGAACAATAGATAGTTAGCAATGTTCTTTTGGAGTATAGTGGCTTTCTCTTTCAGCTTTGAGCGGTATTGTTGTTCAGTGTTCTTTTGAAGGTGATTTCACAAAACTGGCACTTATCAGTGCAAGAGAGACCTTTAGTTCCTTAGACATTATCTTCAGGCTCTTTGAGACTCCCTGGAATATTACATGCTTTGTGGTTGATATGGTCTTGGTTGATCACTCTTGGGAAGGAAAACAGTAGTGTTAAATTGTCTCCATTTGTACCCCATCTGTCTTAACAGTGGACTGGTAGAGTCTAAATTCTTTAAAATTGGTTTTGTCCTCTTTTCCACTATTAAGGTCCTCAGAAATCTCCTTTGTACAAGCCATGATACACTTCCACTTTCCTGTGTTGTGAAGATTGGAGTTTGAGAGTAGATATCTAGAATTCTGTTCTTTAAAGAAGATAGGACTTCCCACACTCAGAACTGATTTTTGTCCCATTGATTGAAATAGCTGATTCTAATTTCTTGTTCAAATGAACTGATAATCCTAGACTTACTTTTGTCACACAGAAGTATGTAGCTTTGGATCATTTTCTCAATAGATCAATTAATAAGTATAACATTTTTGAATAGAATATGGCTCCTTCCCAAGATGCAGCTGAACAGTAAGGAGTTTTTTCTCTCTTGCCAACATTCTGCTGATTTTGCTGCCAAAGCTGTTTTTCTAGCAGTGCTGGATTTGAATGAGAGCACTTAGGAGTGACCAAGACAGCTTTTGGATTGTCATGGATCCACCTGGGAAGAAGAGTCTTGAAGATTCCAATTCCCTATGGAAGTGGTTAGAAAGTCGCTGATCATCCATCTTCCCCTTGAAAATTAATTTTTTAAGCATTTCTGGGTTTTAACTTTACTTTTTGAGTCTTTCATTTGGCTCTGTTTTTTATCTTTAAAAATTGACTGGTTATTGAATGCTGATTTATTTTAACCCTCTGCTGGATTCTAGCTATTCTTTTCTTCCTTCCTTTGATTTATGTTGTTGTTTTGAATAACTTTCAGTTTTCCATAAAGAAACATGTTATTGGGTGGTAAAGGTGCTATCATTTGATTTACATTAATATGGGACTCTGACCACAGGATTTTTGCATTTTATTGATCTGCAAAATATTTAGAGTTTATTTTTTTAATCTTTGCTTTAATCTTGGATTGAAATATTCAGAAAATATCTTACCTATTTTTTCCCCCACTTTCTTTTACTGTTCTTTGTTTCCTGGTTAGGTTAAACAGGGCAACAATGTTTCAGATTACAGACAAGCAACAATGTAGACTATTTAATAAGATGCAAATTTTAGTTGAAAGCTTTTTTAAAAAGTTTATTGAAATGATAATGGCTGTGTAAAATATTCAGATGCATGTAGCTCTGGATAAATTAAGATTCATAAAAGGTACGTGATTTGAAAGTTGCAGACCCATTGGAAAATGCTATGGACTGTACAGACTTAGAACTGTACAGTTCTAAGTCTGTACTTTGTATGGTCGATTGCATGTGCCCCTCTGAAGTTCAAGCTGCATTTTTTTACAACAGCAGAAGCAATAAATTGGTTTTTCCTAGGAGGATTGAAGGAGATTGGGAAATGGATTATCATACTTAATTAGAAACCATTTTTATCTGGATTTTGTTAAGAAGATAGACCGATTTTAGAGACTGAATTTATTATATTTAACCAGACAACAATTGATAAGAGATGATATATAGAAACAAAAATTGATATTTTATCCAGAATGAATTACTCTTAACTCTCAGGATGATTTGGGTAGATAAGATGCTGTGGTAAATTTTCTACAAGTTGATAAAATAACAGTTTGTTAACAGAGGGTTTTGAAACTAACCTTACTTTTTATTTTTGTGTTTTCTCTTAACTATTTTATCATTAATATAGTACATAGATGACAGGTCAATGATTTGCAAATAGATTTAATACTGTAAAATTTTGGGGCCCTATTTCACAAGCGGTGGGAATAATATTTTTGTTATTGTTAGTTGCGAAGTCATTTCTGACCCTGGATAACGTTTTTCCAGGCCTTCCTGTCCTCTACCATCCTCTGGAGTCCATTTAAGCTCCTGCCTACTGCTTTGGTGACTCCATCCAGCCACCTCATTCTCTGTCACGCTCTTTTGCCCTCAATCTTTCCCAGCATGAGGCTCTTCTTCAATGAGTTCTTCTCATTAGGTGGCCAAAGTATTTAAGTTTTAATCTCAGGATCTGGCCTTCTAAAGAGCAGTCTGGGTTGATCTCTAGGACTGACTGGTTTGATCGCCTTGCAGTCCAAGGGACTTGCAAGAGTCTCATCCAGCACCATAGTTAAAGGCCTCAATTCTTTGGCACTCAGCCTTCCTTATGGTCCAATTTTCACAGCCATACATTGCAACTGGGAAAACCATAGCCTTGACTATGCACTCTTTTGTTGGCAGGGTAATGTCTCTGCTTTTTATTATGCTATCTAGATTTGCCATAGCTTTCCTTCCCAGGAGCACGTCTTTTAATTTCTTGGCTGTATTCCCCATCTGCGGAGATCTTGTAGCTCAGGAAAATAAAATATGTCACTACCTGCATTTCTTCCCTATCTATTTGCCAGAAATTGAGAGGGTTGGATGTCATGATCTTAGTTTTCTTAATGTTGAGTTTCAAGCTAACTTTTCCCCCCAATGTCTTGTTTCCTTTGTGTTTTTTTCTTTCTTTGCTGTTGGCTTTTTTAGTTTTATATTTTATTTTATTTTCAAATAAAATAAAAATAGAAGAAGAATAGAACAGAACAAAATAGTTTGGGAAGTGTGGTTAAATTCATAAGGAATTTCTCCAATATAGAAGCACTCAGTGTACTTGCAAAACAATAAAGAAATAATAAACACCCAGGAAATTCAAGTCATTAGATACAAAACTGGAATAATGGACTGGACCCAAGCAGAACTAAAAACCATGGAAAGGAAGAGCAGAAAAATTATGACAAATGGATCATGCCGTTCATTCTCGCAGTGACCTAGACAGACTCTATCTACCAAGGAAAATAGGTGGGTGTGGGATGTTGCAAATATATCAGACAGTTGACGAAGAAAAAGGGGCATTGGAAGAATATCTGAAAGACAGTGAAGATGTGCTAAAGCTAGTATACCAGGAAGGCTTACTGAAGAGACCAAACTGACCTACAAGAATGACCAAATGAAAAACAGAATGGAGGCATAAAAGGACAAAGCATTACATGGTCAATACATTACCAAAATAATTAGGAAAGCAGATAATAACAAGACCTGGTAATGGCTAAGAGCAGGAAAGTTGAAGAAAGAGACCAAGGGGCTCATTCTGGCTGCATAAGAATAAGAGTTAAGAACAAATGTATACAAAACCAAAATTGAGAATTCAGCAACAGACGACAAATGCCACTTCTTCAAAGAAGTTGATGAAACAGTGGATTGTCTGCTGCAAGATTGCACAGAGTGCTTATAAGCAATGGCACGACAAAATAGCAATGGTGCATTGTAAGATGTGAAAGAAGTATTATTTTCCTGGAAGAACTGGTCAGACTATAAAATAGAGAAAGTCATAGAAAATAAATAAACTAAATTCCTGTGGGAGATCAGAATTCAAATAAACAGGTACCTACCATATAACACCCCAGACTTAACAACTGTCAGTAAGGAGGACAAAAAAGTCTGGGTAGTAGACATGGCAGTATCTGGAGACAGCTGAATAGAAAATAAAGAAATGGAGAAGAAAAGAAAATACCAAGATCTGCAAATAGAAATGGAACAATTGTGATTAAAAAATGGAAAAGTAGTATCAATAATCATAGATGCCTTGGGTGCAATGCCAGAACAACTGGACCACCACTTGAACATCATTGGCATTGATAAATTTACCATAGGGCAACTACAAAAGATGGCTTTACTCAAAACAGCTTACATCCTCCAATGACATGTGTAATATCATCAAACATCCACATCTGTCTATCCCAGGACTTTGGAAAGGATTTGA